CTGAACAGTTAAGAGTGTGACAACCTTAGGGGAGGAGCACCCCTTCTCTGGAGGAAATGCGTGTGGTTTCCACTGGCCTCATGCGTCCCCAGCACGATGACATCTGTGTTCCTATTTAAAACTCAAGGGTATACCACCTTTTTCTATCTGAGCTGTTAGCTTTTAAAAATACTTAAAAACCAATCAGCAACTAAATTGCATCTGAAGAGCTATTTCAATTATAGAATGGAAGCAGTTCCTCAGCAACCAGAGTATTTAAGAGCTGCAAAAATTAATGTGCATTTTAATGCTGATTTTCAGAGTATAATACACTTTGTAATTCATTTAAATGTATTCTGTGTGTTCTATTCTAGCTTCGGGCACAGCAGCAGTCCTTGAGACATCATAAAACTACATTTTAAAAGTTTTTTTTTTAATAGAGAAGTATTTAAAATCTAAGAAAGATAAACTGAGTGAAAACATAATTGGTCAGAATCTGAATACAGATGGGTTCTCCTCCTTGAATAACAACCCCTTAAAAGCACTCCCGTAGAATGATCTGTACCCTTAAAGAGACGACCTGCGGTTTGGGTCACATCAAGTAAAAAACCTCATCTAATTGCCTTTTCTCTTCTCGCCGGATTTCGGACACAGCCTTTAGACTTTCCACCTAGGAGCCACGCTATTCCTTGGAAGCTACTGACTTGGCAGATAAATCCAGTAGAATTAGTGCTTCCGTGGATGGCGTGTTTTAAAACCGAGTTAATCAAACCTAAACGTTTTGCCCCAGAGCAAAGGCAAACAGTACATATGTCCACAGCCCAAAGGAAGGAAAGTCAGCAAAGCAAACAGCTGCTTTTGCTAGGCGGTTGCCAACACCACAATGAAATGGATGTTCAAGGGGAAGATGGGAACCACGGGCAGGGAAAAGAGGTGCGGGGTGGCTGTGCCATCCCCAGTCCCCTCTCTGCAGTCTTCAACAAGAAATTGGGGGAAGGATACATGGCAAGCAGAGGACATTAAGGGCAGAAGAGCCCTGCGCCTCCCCTCGTTCCCTGCCTTCATCTTTTCACACAGTAAGTGGGCTAGCATCGCCCAAGGGAAGGACTGCAGACTCAGGGAAAGAGATGCCCCCAGCCCACAACCCTGGCTCCCAGCTTCCTACCAGCCCACAACGTGCATTGAAGTTCTATTCCTCTGTTTTGCTCTGCAGCCGTCACAAAACAGAAAGAACACAGCTTCCTTGTGACTTCCGGTGTGGTGCGGGATGATTTCCGACTTTGCCACGTCCCGGATTCAGTATTCTTTGTGTTTCATTTGCTGGAGGGGCATTATAATCAAGAAGGTGCATGGAGTGATGAGAGTCTCTGCCTTCCGCTGACTCCTCCCTCCTGAAGTTTGCTCCTCTCCTTCCCTGCAAACTGAGCCAACCAACCATGTACCCAACACAAAAGAAGCTCCTTCTTCCCCAGCCCAGGCAGTGGACCGCCCTTTGCGGAACAGTGCTGATGTTCTGGGCCCCGGGGCAGAGAAGACAAAAAGCCATTTAACAAGCATCTAGTGAGCACTCGCTGTCAATGCATATTTAGGGTGATAGGGAAATGGGTGATGGGTGAGTCACAGCTCACTTTGTTCATCAAAGAGAACAGAGTCCCATGTTTTGGAAAGACCTGGGGACTCCATGTTGCTCACCTAAAAATCAAAATTCCCTCCAGCTTTAGAGGAGTGGTTATGGGGTTTCGCTGAACTAAAAGGTCGCACTTAGCACCACAGTTTGGAATATGGGATGAACGTCCCGCTGGGATTGCCTGGCCCAGTCTCGAGTTGGAGATCTCGAGTTGGAGATCTTGAGATCTCAATAGTTGGAGGATCTAAAGAAATCGCAGGCTAGCTCATAGCCTGGCTCACAGGCTGGTCTGGGAGTCTGCTTTTCTGAGCTCTGGGTTCCCTTTGGTTACCTCTGAGGTAACAGAAGCCTCCACAGTTTGCACGCAGAGGCTTTACAACACTGGAGCCCTCGCTCCGGGTTCCAAAGGGCCCCCAGTCCCCAAGCAAACTTCTTATGAAAGTCCTGACACCACCACGGTGCACCCCACCCATGAGACCTCCATTTCCAGGCTTTCACTAAGGAAGCCATCGGGTCTGCTTCTGAGCTCTACACAGTGGTGGCTTTCATTTCAAGACCCACTGCTATTCCTGACGGAGCTGGGAAACCGAGAGAGCTATTTATAAGCATTCTGGTGGCAATTTCCACAACGAGGAGGTGAGGCTGGTTTCTGATTTATGCCTTTCTAGACAGCTGTCCCTTGTCATTTTACACATGCTGGCATGACATTTCCCTCCAGCCAATTTAATCCTGAAAAGTTTTGTTTCTTTCACACGTGAAGGAAAAGTAAGTCTTTGACTTGAATCATTCCTCGCCCCTCCTAAAACTGTAATTTCACGGGTTCCGTCTAATTTGTACACGCCTATCTCGCTCAGCTGCGGGGAGTGCACGTCAACTCTCTTTAGGAAGGCTCATGCGGCTTACTACGCAGAGCTGCTTTTGTGGGGTGGGTGGGAGAATGTCGTTAAGAATTTGAGGAATAACTGAAATCGGAGTGATTTTTTTTTTAAATAAGTGTTCCTTTTCCACATATTTCTGAAAGCTAAAAATACAGTGCAAGTATGTACTCGCAGTTAGTTGAAAGCTAAGCAGATTGAGAACTAGACAAGGGGAGGATAACATCCAATAATCTAAATGTCTCAAGTCAGTGGGGGGATACCAAGTACCCAACAATGGGAAACAAAGTCACCGGGAAATGAAAACCGGAATCATGGAATGGATGGATCCATGTGTGGACAAGGGTGAGACATAATCCGGATCCTCCAGGAACTTGAACTGTTGTAAATCATAACAAATACCCAAGATTCTCCGGAGAGGCGTGATAAGTCCCAACCACCTGCTGCTTGTGGGTCCATTCAGGTGTGACCCTGCCTGCATTCCTGTTCACACTGTCCTGTGGGTGGCATGGGGGCGGGGGGCACTTTGAGGATGTGAAATCACATATCAGGAAATGGATGAGGAGATAAATATGAAAGATACTCTAACTGAAATTCTTTGAGTTCTTTGAAATAAACCCACCCCACACACAACAAAAGTAATATTTTAATTTCAGACCTGAAGGTGGGAGAGACTGAGGATCAGGGTAAGAGAAGTGTGTCCAAGGATAGAACGCGCTACCCACGTCTCCGTCTTCTAAGTGTTTTCAAACAATACTCATTGAATAAATAAGCAAATGGATTAATGGATGAGCCTTGGGCGAGGAGATAAAAATAGTATTTTGAACTTTTCGGAGAATGGAAGAATTTAAATAAGATGCAACAGTATCCAAGATGGCAGGGACAAAATTTCTTGATTCAAGTGCTAAGAGGACCCAGATGGTTCTCACGTTTTCTTTGTATTCTTAGTTATTGAGATGGAGTTAGGAGCCAGTTAAGACAACAGCCTCCACAAAAATGTGAAGAGCCCGAAAGATTCACAAAAGTCATCATGAAGCTCTGTGGCGCCTCCAAAAACACTGTAAAAATCCCCTCTTTTAAATTACTGCATATTTCAAGGACACAGAAAAGCAGAAAGAATAAACTCTGTTAAATGGAACATTTAAACAAAGCATCAAACTCCTCCTTTTCCTTCCCTAATCCTTATAACTCTTTCTTTCAAGAAATAACCACTTTCATGAAATTGATGTTAATCATCCTAGGAATTTTTTTTAAAAATTGAATTTACTGGCTGATGTATGTATCCATAAATTATGCATTGTTCTGCATCTTTCTTAGCTTTTTAATAAACACTACTGTATACCATACCTATCTTTCCCTAACTTGCTTTTCATACTTGTGTTTGGGGGATTTATCCCATGTTGATTTATGTAGCTCAAGGTAATTTATTTTAACTGATGTAGAGTATTTATTATACTTTATGAATATGCCATGATTTACATCTCCATTTTCCTGTTGCTGTATATTTCAGTCACTTTTCATGTATTTATTTATTTTCATGTTCCCAAACAAGGCTTCCCTGAACATTTCTGTTCCTGTTTCCTTGAGCGGTCAAGCAAGAGTAACTCCGGGACAGTGGTTCTCAACCCTCCCCGCGCAGTAGAAAACGTTAAGAAAAATACTGTCCAAGGGGCCCTACATCTAAGGTTCTGATTTAATTGGTCCAAGGTATTTCTATATTTTACTGATAGAAAAGAAAGAAAATAAACAAAGTTATAGATTAGAAAATATTGGGTAGTGATACAAAATATAAGGAAAATGAAAGAGGGTAATCCTCTAGAGCCTGGATCCGGGGAAGAGTGTCCCATGGACGTGACATCGAGGTTGAGACAAGGGACCAGGGAGTCACTGTGTGAGGACTGAAGAGAAGGAGCATGCCCACTAGCGGGACCGATGGACGGCTGGGGTTGGTATGTCTGACACCTGCTCCCAAAGCCTGTGGGGCCAAGGCAGGGGCACGAATGCAGCTATGCATACCACACGCCTAAATCTTCAAACCGTAAGTCAAACAAACTTGGAAAGAATATATGTTCTATATTTCTACTTTATCAACTATACCATCACAGTGACAAAATTAAAAAATAAGAGTAAAGCTATGGTCTCGATCTGAGGTAAAGTCATCAAAATACCAATGGCAACTGAGTTTAATAATTATTATTACACACATGTGCTGTGGATGCACCGACTGACAACGCTCGGAACTGTGATAAAATAGAGACATAAATAATTTATAAATGTCTTCACATTCATTCCATCAAACTTGTTGGGTTGACTTTATTTCAATGAAATCGTTTATGAATTGTTAAAATCAGTATTTACAGAATTTGTTTTACTGACAGCAACGATCTAAAGGATTAAAAATAAAATACACTTTTACTTAAGATATATACAATTTAAATGCATTTTCATTAAAAACATAGAGTAAAATGTAAAAAATTTTACAAATTAACCTTTGTTTTATACATTTTCCAAAGGTTGTTTTCCTTCTAAAGTACACGTTATAAATTAATCAGTATCAAAATATTTATTCAATTTGTTATGATGAAATTTTAAAATTTCAACTTCAGGAAATGTAAATAAATCTTACCAAACATTTTTACAAAAATAAAACTCTTGGCAGTTCAAGACTTGGATGTACATCTAGTTGCTAAGATATGATTTTGTGTCCCTTTACATGTGAAGTCTAGACCCACGTTGCTCTAAATGTGTAAGGTTTACTATTATATCATTATTCATGTATGGTGAGGCCATCAGATCAGCAGACAATAGCCATTGAGAGATGACTTGTTATACTCCCAGATTCCAAGAGAAGGGGCACCCCATGCCACGCGGGGCCATGCGGGGAAACACCAGGTCGGTCAGGATCCTGAGGGAGGAGGGGAAAATGTGAGCAACCTTTATTTTGGTTTCCAGGAGGCAGGGTAAGTTTTACCAGAATAAATATGATTTAACAACAACAAGAAGCCAAATGAAATTTAAAAAATTAAAAGTCCAACTTGTTTTTTTATAACTTGAGTAAAATATATAATGCTGCTATGAGACACAATTATATAATTAAGTGAAAAAAAAAATCTGTCCAGGCATCAAAACCTTTTCAGATGGTGGGTTTATAAGAGCATCTACAGACAACAGTGTATAAGACAGAAACAAGCATTTTCAAATGTAAGTCTGACCAGAAACATTTTGCCCAGAATGCTGACAATAAGGCTGTGCACTGTAGGAAAAGTTGCTAGAAAATAGATTGTTTATGTTGTTTCCTCTTCTAACTGATGAGAACACAGATAATATCTCCCAGTTAACTGTTTTTCTTCATGCTTTCAGTTAAAATTTCAATATGACCAAAGTCTGATAAAAACTTTTGGACATAGGGACACCTGGGTGGCTCAGTCAGTTAAGTGTCTGCCTTTGGCTCAGGTCATGATCTCAGGGTCCCAGGATCGAGTCCCACATCGGGCTCCCTGCTC